TATTCTTTTTGGCATGATTTATCACATTTTTATTCATTTAAATTCCAACTTTATCTATCAGGTTATTTTAGACGTTCAATGTTAAAGCCTAAGCTCTTATTGATAAAGATGATTACAACAGATAGCTTAAATTTTATGACAGATAGTAGGTGTGTTTTTCTAAAAGCAATTTATGCATCAATAATCATGTGATTGACACATAAAAAATCCAGCACATTTAAAATGACTTCCCAATTAAAAAAAATACCAACACTGTATTTTATGATAGAATTGTAATGTGTGGTGTAAGAACTTAAAGCAATCCTGCCAAAATCTTCAGTTGCTGGCATGTGTGAAAATAGTTATTTAAAGAAAAATGTAACTAAAACTTCTGAGTTTCGAATCTGTTTTGTTTTGCCATCTTCCTGATTTTACACAAATATTCACTAATAAATACAACAAAATAAGTGTATGATTAGAGTGGGTTACACTGGATTTGTGTTTATGTAATGCCCAGTAGCAGAGTGCATGCTGCTAAGTTATTGCATTCTAACAATTCACGCCTTAGTAATTATCTTAAAAACATACATAAACTATGTGATGTGAAGTCCATACAAAAAATCCTTTTTTAAGCTACTATATTGATTCACATTTGTGCAAGTTTTCTAAAGTATGTAATTTGTACTTACTTCTGGTCTTACACTGACACAGACCTACAAATTACTAACTAAATTTCTAACTTGTATCTTCTTGTATTAGTATTTCCTATTAGAAACACCTTTAGGAAGTTTGTAACCATACAAGCCAGTGTCCCATATCTCAAGTAGCTAGATTTCAAATCATTTATATTTACTTGTAGGTTCTAAGAACATTCATGGAATATGCCATTATAATTTATTGAGAAATACACAATCATTTATTGGATTCTGTAATAACCTCTATGAGAGAAGTAACTTTGGGCTGAAATAGAGAGAAAAATCTTAAAAGCTATCTTTCATAAATTATCAGAAATCAATAATAAAGTTTATAAGTCTTAATATTGAACAAAATGTGTTTCGTTTTAATTGCATAAGTAGATAAATAATTAATAATTTCAAACAAGCATTCAAAATTTGAAGTTAAGAATCAGAAATTCTTTTTTTTTCTGGCAAAAATAGAATAAATTTGGCAAATAAAATAATTTAAAACAATAAGTTAAATTTTCAAGCTTGTGGGAAGTAAATTATATTAAACCTAAGTGTCTATCATTATTTCAATTTAAATGCCTTCTGCACTCTTTCCTGTGTGTGTGAATGTGCATGTGTTTGCATACGCAACATACAAAATATATACAGGAAAATGAAATTTATTCCCCATCAATAAAAGACATTAAAAACACAAGGAACAACAACAAAAACTTCAAATGAATTTACCCCATTGAAAAATGCTTGATTACTTTTTCTCCCAAAGCACCTGTAAATGAATAAATGTTATCCTCATGAAGTCAGCTGCAAGAAAGACATCTTTAGTTTATGCCATGCAGGACTGACTCTTAACCAGCTCTGAAAGGATCTTACCCACAGGGAGGATTTCATGTGAAAATGTCACACCACAGCTGGATAACACCATTTATATAGGTGATAGCAATCACTGAGTTGGGGCTATCTTAAGATGCCCTCATTATTTGGGGATGAATTCAGAAAAAAAAGGTCAAAATTTGAAACTAAAACAAGCGAAAAAGAAAAATACTAGGAAAAATAATGAGTCATGCACTCAAGGATGGAGTTTATAATTGTTACTGAGATTAGAGTTTCTTCCAATCAAACAAAGTCAAAGAATTTTTTTCTTCCTTTCCTCTCCCCAAACCCAATAAACTATTCAACTGTGTGGTGATACATGAATTAACCGCTGTTTGATACAACAGAAGTTTCTGCATGGATTCTAGAAAAAGGAAAGTTAGGTCATAACAACTTAGTGTTAAGTCTATATTGCCCAAAGAAAGGTAGAGAATTCTTTAGAATCAATGGTTTAGACAGACTACTTATATGGTGGACAGCTTAATCAGCCATCCTTGTTAGATAAAAAATATTCCTTATGAATACCAAACAAGATTACCTTTTAAATTGTTTTCACTATGACATCATCTGATGTATAATTCAACTTCCTGATGGAGCAATACTATGATGTATTTCTCCCATAATTGAAATTCAACTTTATAAATCACTTTATGAGTTTGCTTCATATATTTAAGCACCCCTCACCTCCTAAGAATCTAATCATCTGTAGCTGAATTAGAAAAATAGTTCTAAAATAGCAAAACCGGGGATAAGACCTTGGAATGAGGTCATAATTCGCTCTCTTGATGGAACTTTTAAAATACAGCAGGTAAAAGTTATCCTTCTACAGTCTTAATGACTTCTTTTATTTAACAACAACAACAACAAAAAAAACCTCCCTCTGAAACAGTAACTCTCAAACTCTTTTGAAGATAACTAAGTAAAAAGAGCATTTTACATTATGGCACATATAAGGGTATATTACGTGCATAGCTGAAAAAGAAGTTTGACCAAATAATGCTTATCCCAATTATGTGCAAAGCATTCTGACATTTCTTATTCTATTTTATTATTTAAAATGTTGATTACCGTTCAATAAACTTGATTTCACAGTATATTCGTGAGTTGGGAACCAACCTTTGAAAAACATTGCTCTGGAATCAAGGCTACTTATATCTGAAATAATTCAATTGACATTCCTTAGCTGAGGTAATGTTTTCCCAATGCAAGTCACAGTCCTTTATTAGCTAACACATTTTCTCTAGAAGAACATTCTTGAAATGTGCCCATTTTTCTACAGCAGGTATACTACTCCAGGTGCCTCACTGTTTCCGTATGTAAACAACACATAATCTTCATTTCAAAGAGCAAAAATCTTATTCTGAGAAAAATAACAATTGAACAAACAGCTGGAGAATATACTGAAAGGGGAAAATGTCCTTCAATGGCAATGAAAAGTATGTGTTGTGTTTCAGGTGGCTATCCAAAATTAAACTCTACTTAGTTTTCACTTCATAAAAATCTGTGATTCATGCAGCTCCCCTGAAAGTAGACATTGCCATGGTCTGAGAGAACACTTGAACAGATTAGCACTTTGCTATGGTAAATTTTTTAAAAATCTTATAAAAATATCTAGCATATTTTATGTAATTTTCAGTATTAAAGCTGCATTTGGAGTCCTGACAACCATATTTGATAAAATTCTCATAAAATTTGAAACCATTATTATTTAACACAATTTTGCTAGGCTAAGTTTTGTTACAACTCATTCGAAAGGTACTCTGTTATAGAACTTGCTCTGTCCTAAAATATATTATCATTGCCTATTTAAGCTGCTTTTCAGATTCTATTACCTTTAAACTTAAGCAAGCATTGCGTTAAAGGAGGAAAGCCATATTAATTTTGTCAATGTAGAGAAAGGCTATTTTCAAAACAGATTGCTTAATGTGAAGAAACTTAATATAGAACCTATAAGAAATGAGGTACAAGTCCTTTTAAATGTTAGAGATTTTTGTTGTTTAAAATGAAAGTTCCATCCAGGCTTAGCTAAGCTTATAGCCCAAGTGAATATTTATATATGAATTTATAAACCTTAGAAATAGAGTTTTATGGAAATGCTAACAGGTCCTGAGGTATGACTGAACTTGTTTTCAGGTACTGCTATAATTTCCAGTGTGTACATGCTTAAAGACTGCAACACAAAAGACTTTTTCTAATGTTGTAATTCTGTCTTGTTATTATACTGAGTTATAGTATGGGAAAATATTCAGAAATTTCAGCTTAAATAAGAAAACATGAATGGTGTTACTTATATAAAATACTACTGCAATAGTTCTTTTATTAATTTTTAATGTTCAGCACCCTCTGTGACCTCCTTTATTCTCTTGCTGTCAACATGGCAGGCTGGAAAAACTGAAATGGGCTGACAGAAAACATAGTGCATGTTACAGCCCAACTCCGGAGTCTCTTGACTCTCTTTCCGTGGCACATGCTAACGTGGCCATGTTATTCTGCATTACAATAATATTTAAGGCCCTGTTTGATAGCGCCTGATAAAAGCGGGCTGTGTCTGGAGCCTGAACAGGTGCTCCTCATCAGCCTTCTTTCTGACATTGTGGGAATGGCATTCAATTGAAAGCAGAATATAACCGTTTTTGTTCATCATGGCTTATAGACATACTTCATACTCTCAAAACAGAATACCTCAGCATGGATAGAGCTTTATTTGTGTCTGTCCAGCCTCTTCCAAAAGCACATTTTGGTCTGATTCAGCAATGTTTTTCTTGAACAGTGGGGCACTGCTATGTTATATATATTTACCACTTTCTCTATCACCAAGGAGACTAATCCCCATAGCAGTACAGTCAAGAACCTTACAGCATTGCCTTTGCAAGATCAAGTTCATGTTGTCACAGTCACAGAGTGCACAGGGTAAAGATACTGAACAGGACCTTGAGATTAAAATCTCTCTTTTTCGAATTCAAGTGTATGATGATGAGAAAAAGAGTGCAAAGGTGTGAGGTCTGTAAATGTCTTGTCAGCTGATGCTTAATTCAGTGCTTTAATGGTTTGTTTGGGACAGTTGTGAAAGCAAGGTTTTTGAGGAAAGTAGATGCCTAAATTTTAGGAAGAATGAAAACTAGTCCAGACTATGAAAAAGATATTATAATGAGGGTGCTTATATTTTTCTCTTGGAGGGTCCTGGTATTAAGCCTTACTAATAAGTGCCGAAAGAACTGAGAGACAATGAGAAATTCTTAGGAAAGCATGGAGCACAAGAGAATAGACCTTATCTTGATATTCTTTCATCCTGTGCTAACAGTCACTTGGGTTTTCACATTCAATTTGTTCTGTCTGTCATAATTATTCGGAATATTGACTAGCTATTGGAATCATAAAGGACACAGAACACTTTCATGTAACATGATCTCCTGATTTTTCAGCAAACTCCAAGGAAGCCCAAAGCAAGAAATGGGCAACACCTACCAGAGACTCCTCCATATGTAGTTCGCTTTGCAATCCCCACTGCTGGCCAGGGTGTGCCATCAGATTTTAATCCCATCAGACCCGAGACAGTGTTGGTGGCTGTAACGCCATCTGCACCACCTGTGAAAGACACATCAATATTTTCATGAGGCTCCTACAGACATGATAGTTAAAACCCATTCAAGCCCTTACAACCCAGAAAAATGCACATTCTACTATCTCTTGAGAACATGTCTTCTCTTCAAGATCTTCACTAATTTAACTCCTACATTTATGTTTAAAATTTTAAACATTAAAAAAGTTTTAATGACCACAACTTTACTGTCTCAATTATTATACTGACTTGTTGATATCAGATGTTTTGTATTCAGTGTTATTTTCCAGGTAATTTATATTATGTTTGCAAGTCAGGGTGCAATTTCCCTGGGATGGAACATAAGCATGTATGATTTATGTATTCAACAGATATTTATTGAGCATGTGTTTAAGGAAGTCAGCTAGGGCCTATAAAATATAGAGAGAACTCATAAGAAATTTCACATTGTGGAAACCGGATTTTTTTTTTCTTTTTTACTTCATGAAAGGTTAATATGCTGAATTATTACATTATGAGGTCATTTATTTTGGAGAGGTTTGCTGTGACTGTGTTTTTTGTTGGCATAATATGTGAAATAAGTGTTTATTAGGAAAAACCATAAATGATCTTGTGTTTCCAGATCAAAGTTCCTGGTCCATTTGCTAGTGTGAGTCCAGGTATAAAACTCCTGTGTTTGTGGGATCAAGCGCTCAATTGGAAACTTTTAAATTTTAAACAAAAAAAATATGCACATGTGTAGGAAAAGACATACTTGAGTATGGCTACATGATATAGGCCAATATTTATAATACTGAGCAACTTATTCAAGTCAAGTTCTTACCTTCCTTTGCAGCTCTTGCGATGCTCACAATATCGGTGACATTTGGGGTCAACTTGGCAAAAAAAGGAATCCGAACAGCTTGCCTAACCCAGCGGCAGATGTTCCGCACCAGCTCTGGATCCTGTTCAAATAGGTCAGTTAAATATAGAACATAATTAAAGAATTGTGATCAAAATGTGTATTGGAACAGCAGCAAAGCCAGAGACATGCAAGACAAATCCAACTTGACAATGAGCTACATGATATATTTCTCAAATTCCTCCTCAGTATTACACCTAGACTCATTAGGGAACTAAGGTTAACACACTTCAAGTGAACTGCAAATTCATCACATAAAGGTTAAATTCCTCAAGAGAGCTTTTAGAAAATAAAATTTCAAAGAACAAAGTGGAAGAAAGTGTTTCCCACTTTCAGTTAAATATTACCAGGAATGAAACACAAACTTTTGATGGTAAGTACAGGAAACATTACAAAATTTCTAGTGACCTCATTGGTTTAAGCAAAATAAAAAAAACATTTAAACTGCTGACTCTCAAGTGAATGATATTAAATCTAAAGCTTGTTGTTTTCATTATTAGACTTAGTCTTGACATGTATTCAAAATAAATCTATCTATGACTTTATCATCAATCTATATGTGATATATACTATATGCTAATATGGAATAATTCAGCCTTGTATCATACATGACCTGATCAGCAACTTTAAATTACTTTTGTAAATGTTACCAATATCTATGCAGCGTTTTTTAACACTCACAAACTTGAAAGAATTGATCAAAATGACAAAAATGAAATAAAATTTCAAATGCTCATTTTAAAAAGCAAGAAATAGACAATTTCTTTTCCTATTTTCTGTGATTTTCCAGGCTTTATTTTCTCATGGAGGGGGGCAAGTATCATTTAGAGGGCAAACACCTATCCTTTCCGTTGAAATAACTTAGCTACAGTACAGTAATGTTCTTTGATTTCAACACATACAATAGTCCTTTTTTTCATTACTTTTAGTGCAAAATTTATTCTGACAGGTACTGATAATGTGCTTTGATAAATTACCTTAAACTATGCAATAGCAATTCATTATTGAACTTGGTAATATTATCTTAGCAAGTTAAAATGTTTTTGAATAAAAGAAAAGCCTAGAAAAATACAGTCATATATTTAAACTATGAAATAGTAGGCAAGCATATCATTTGTAATTAATATTTTTATATGTAAGAAAGTTGCTCCTTGCATTTTAACCTTTCAAATTCCTTTAAGATGAAATTTCTAATGTTGTAACCTTTAGAAAGAACCTTTTCACTTAGGTTTAATGTGTCTTGATCCGTCATCCTGTATTACTCGGAAAGTTATGCATTTTTGTGCTAAGATACTGCAATGAGGTAATTTCTGTTGATTGTTATTGTCTCTATTCCGCAAAACAATACTTTTAAAAAGAAGTCTTTGGCTTGGCTTGTTCTTTTTTTAGAACAGTAATTTCTTCATTAAACATAAATATTAAAAAAGTACTATATGGAATGCTTATAGGGCATACAGTACATTATGAATAGTAAAATGAGGAGACTTAGCTGTACAAATTCTAACTCATGAAAATGGAGATCTGCCCCTGCCCATGCAATGCTCATGAAATATTTATAACCACTGCATTGGTATTATGAAGGCAGTTGCATCTTTGTGACTTTCATTTCTAAGTTATGAATTTCCATGGGACTTAGCCTAGAAATGACAGTAACTCTAGATGATATGAATTGCATGTCCTTTGTGAAAGCTCTTTTTAAGGCAGAATTTGACAATAATTTAAAGATCACTTGAATCGCATAATACATGGAATGTATCCTGATAAGAATTACTGAAACAAATTTGTAATATTATTTGGTTCCAATAGAGTAAACACTAATAATCTGATATAGGCTTCTAAGTGGCTTTCAATACTATTGACCCCCATGCTATAATAATTTACTTTGAACATTTGTCAGACTTTTTTTTCTGATTTTCACTAGATGACTGCTTTAAATGACTGCCTATTACCCACTGTTTAACAACTTGGAATTTGTTCAAAGGTTTTCTAATCCTTAGAAATATATGGATTTTGGGTTAGCACTGTTTATTTGAATCATCTGTCTCTATTTTGAGATAACATAATATGACCGTCCCATACTTCCATGAGTTAAGTTGACAGTGTTCACGTATATTTTTCTCATCTTCATACTTAGCCAAGTCTGCTGCTGAACTAATCATCGTAGCCAGTATAAGTACAGTTTGGTTACCTGAAAATTTTAAAAACAACTTTTAACCAAAATTATTGTAAAAAAAAATTTTTTTTTTTGAGACATAGTCTTGCTCTGTCGCCAGGTGCCAGGCTGGAGTGCAGTGGTGCAATCTCAGTTCACTGCAACCTCCGCTTCCTGGGTTCAAGCAATTCTCCTGGCTCAGCCTCCGGAGTAGCTGGGACCACAGGCGCGCGCCACCATGCCCAGCTAATTTTTGTATTTTTTAGTAGAGACGGGGTTTCACCACGTTATCAATATCTTGACCTTGTGATCCGCCTGCCTTGGCCTTTCAAAGTGCTGGGATTACAGGCATGGGCCACCGCGCCTGGCAATAATTGTAAAAATTAATGATTGTTCTGTGTATTGCAAAGTTTTGTTCGACAGGTATAATAGAGAATATTCTAATACAACTAGAAATGTGGTGAGGCCAAGAATATCATGAAATGAATCTATATACTTTTGGGGAAAAGAGTAGAGTGTAACTATTTATGCTTTCCTGGTTTCATCACAATTTTGATATTAATGTTAAAAATCTAAAAGCAATTAATAGTGTCTGCGTCTTGACCTTCTCATTTTCTAGTCATAGCATCAGAGGGTTTTGCCTTTTTTAACAAGCCAGTTTTTAGAATCTTATTGAAATAAATAAATTTTAGACAATTTCTAATCTTCCCCAAATTTTCAGGATCAAAAATATACAAAAGTACTCTTATCTCTCAGACAAATTAAAAGTTTACCATTACCAATACCAATAAAAAGAAACAAAACAAAACAATTATTGAGTGCTCTATTTACAGGCACTAAAAAATATCTGTTGTGTCAATGAATGAGGAATGAGTAAAAACTTGGCAACTTGGCATATTTTCAAATTATTTCTTTATATAGCCATGAAAGTATAAAGTATGTCTAGATTTAGGAAAAACCCAGATATATTTTGTGACAGTGTCTAAAATCATGAAATCTAGGAAGACTGCTTTATAAATCAGGAGTAATTCTGTGAAAAAGTGATGGATAATTAAGCAAAATAGAATAGCTTAACAAATTTTTTAAAGTGTCTAGTACACAAAACATCTACCTAGATTACAAATGCTTTATTGGTGCTTTCTAAAGGCATTAATTATGCTCCTCCCTGAACATGATTTACAACCTCTCCACAGTAGTTGCTTGTCCGTGTATGTGTGTGTGTGTGTGTGTGTGTGTGCATGTTCTTCAATACCTGTTAACCCTTTTGTTATTCAATGTGATCACTAAAGAAAGCTCTGAAGCAATAAAATAATTTCCTGTGATGGAGGGGAATGACGTTATAAGCAGGAGGCCACTTGAAGCCCATAAGAGAATGAGTGACAGGTCCAGGAAGCAAATGGCGGTCTTGAGGATACTACATGAAGTGAAGGTACCAGACCAGACCTGTGAAATGCTGAGAGTTTTGATAAAAGCAAACTTGAGACAAATTTGGCCTATTTGAATATTTTGATGAGTTACAGCCCAGCGTCTGCCTGCAACTAATCTTATCAAGAATAGATTCCTATGAAAATCAAACAATGATGATAACACTACTAGAAAATGTAATGCTGAGGAATATAGATTACTTGCTGCAGTAGTGTCCATTATGCAAAACTGGTTGTTTTTAAAGCTAATTTCTAATCTGGGCCACAAGATAATAATTTTTAATTCTAGTAACTACTCTGTATTTAGTTATACATTAAGGGAATTCTGAAGATGATCCATCTGCTGCTTTTGAGACCCTGAAGATGACCTCTTCATTGTAGGGCAGGCATTTCCACCAATTACTTAGGGCATCAAATCTCACTGGTTTCATGTCCTCTGCAAAGAAATAAGCACTACAGAAATTTCCTGATAAGCTAAATTACAAGTGAAAATTGACTTGAAGAAACATTTCTTTCCCGTTTACCTAGTAATTTTCACTCTGTACAATTCTTTTCAAAATGGCTTTCTTAGAGGCTGGCATTTCAATGAATCCACTGAAAAATTTTACCAGTTATAAAATGCTTTTCACTAAGCAACTCTTAATTCACATGACATGCCAAGAGGTGGCTGGAATTTTCATTACATCCATGTTTCTGATGGAATGAACTGGGGCCCAGAAGATCAATCTGAGTACCAATTTCACCTTCTTAATTTTCTTTCCCATTATTATGTCCTAAACCATCATCTTCTTTAGCAAAATTGCTCCCTAAAGTGAAATTCAGCCATCAACTGTAAACTAGAACTATAAAAAGCTTCTACTTTACTTATACCTGTAAGATTGGAAGTAGCTGCAAAATAATGAGCAAAAGTGATATATTATCCTTCTATGTCAATAAAACAGGACAGGTAGTCAACGATTCCAGGTACAATTATAATATTAGTGAATGCAAAGATTATGTGTTGGAATGGAGGTGTTTTTATTAACTTATTTCTTTTAGCATGTGTCCTTGTATCTGTTTTCCTGACTTAAGAATTCTAATGGTGGGTGCAACCACTTTGGAAATTAGTTGTGCAGTTTCTTATAAAGGTAAACTCTTAATTATATATACGAGAGAAATGAAAGCATACTTCTACATTAAAAATTGCAAATGAATACTCATAGGAACTCTTTTAAAGTAGGCCCAAATTTGAAATAACCCCAATCAATGTTCATCAATATGTGAGAGGATAAATAAAGTTGTTGCATATTCACACAATGGAATATGATCATGCCACTAAAAGAAACTAATGAATCATGCCACAACTTGGAATTAATAAAACAAAATGACGCTGAGTTACAGAAGTATACACTATATGCATATACTTAGAAATTCTGTAAGAGGAAAATCTATGAGTATGAACAGCAGAGCAGTGGTTGCTAAGACAGA